TCTTCATCAGTTTGTATATTTCGTGGTATTTCACGTACATGTTCATCAATTGAAAAAGCTGAATAATCAATCCACATTGTACCAGAAAAATGTGGAAAAATTAATTGTGAAAAACGTGGAAATAATTTACGTCCAATATTTGAACCACGTCGAAAACTATTTGTTACAAGACGATTTATTAAAATTTTTTTCAAAGAATTTTCATTGACCGATCCTGATTATAAAATATGAAACAAAAATAAAGAAAGAATAATTTTATAAAAATTTATTAATACCTTCAAGAAAAAATATAGCAGCTCCCATCGGTCCAATAGTTTGAGAATTTAATTTCGTTGTTTCTTCATTTTTATTTCGATTTATTGATATATTACTATTATATAACCAAAATAAATCACTAGGAGATAAATAACTACATGTACATGGTGTAACTGTACAATGATATCGACAAGTAAATCGTATAAATATTCTTGTAAGCCAACATATAGGTAAAATAAGTGTTATTAATATAACACATGGAATAGAAATAAAAAGTCCAAAACAAAATTTTGATAAACGTTTTAAAAAAATTACAATAGATGATTGATCAGTTGGATGTTTAACACGTTTAATAGGTATATTTTGCATATAAGAACTATTAGTTGTTTGTTGTTCATCTGTTGTTATTGATCGTGTATAAATAATTCTTTTTCGATGTTGTGTTTGTTGTGGACGAGGCATATCAATTGGTTCAACACGTTTTGAAGGAAACAGATTTGTTGTTTTTAATGATGATGATAATAAAAATGAAGGTGTACAATGAATAATAGCAATAGATATTTGTTGTTCAATATAATCTATACGATGATTAATGTCAAATGGAACAGTAATCAAATTTGATGCGGTTGATTCAGCCCATTGACTGTCCACTTGCATGTCCTTCTAGATCGATAGAAATTTTTCTTAGAAAAAATTTATGAAACTAAAAAAAATTCTTTTATTATTAACAAAAAAACAAAACTGTGAGACTTTGTTTGTTCATGTAAGGAGAAAACAAAAAAATAGAAAAAAAAATTTATAGACTAGTAATTTCATTACTTATGGATTTTTTCCTGATGAAAAAAAATGGTTTCTCACCTTCTTCTTTTTTCCAAAAATATATTATCATTTAATAATGAATGAAGCTTTTTTTTTCTTCTTTTAGACTATATTTCTCTTCATGTGCTCATAATGAACATAATAAAAATTAGAAACAAAAAAAAAAGGAAACATGATAACAGAAGAGAGAAAGATTGACGTATACTCATTTTGAAAAAAAAAAAGAAGAAAAAGAAAGAAATCTTCTATTTGACAAAGAAAAAAAAAATAAATGTCATCAACATCAAATCAAGATATTCATTAATAAAAACAAAATAACAGATTGATATTTTTATTCATAAAAATAATCATTCAAATGTATGATTATTGTTTAATTTCTCTTGAGAATATTTCATTTTTTAGCTTTTTTTTTTTGTTTTACCTCGAATAAACATTAGATTCATATTCATCAATGGACAACATCGACCAAGATAAATAAATTTGATCGAAAAACGAATTCATTTACATATATCTTGTTGTTGATAATTTTTCATTGTTGTATTACAACTTTTTTTTATTGGCATTATTTTCTAAAAGAAAAATAACACAAGCATACCATTCGAATTATTATGTCAATATGTTCTATCTCATTTGTCTTTTTTTACTTTATTCAAGTTAGACTTCTAATAGTTTCCATACACATACATCTACAAAGAGTAGCAGCTAATCGAATAGTACTAGATCTTTTTTTTCCTATATATCTTTTTTTTTCCTGACTGATTGATAGTCGTTATATAGCCATAATGATCATGTGTGTGTTTCGTAGTAATGGGAATATCAAAGAGCGAAAAGAAGAAAAAAAAAATGTAGAATGAACGTGTAATTGTCAAGAATTTGAAGATAGATAGATAGGAAGAGAAAAGAAAGAATGGCTAACTACAACAACAAGAGTCTGATTCGATCAAGGTCGTTGTAGCGCATCGAACAGCAAGACAACAATCACGGATGATGTGACGTTTTGTGAGAGCATATAAGCAGGCACGCACGCACTGTATTTCCGACAGCGAGACACATGGCATTGTCGTCGTCGTCGTCGAACAGAATAAAGAGAAGCATCGATGCTAGGAAAAATGAATAAACAGAGCAAAAGACATATTCATAAATGAAAAAAATGTGATTTTCTGGTGTATATTTTTTTTTATCCTTCATCTACTATCTTATTTTTCTTTGTTTTGCCCCCCTCTCTTCCCCCCCAAAAAAAAAAAGAACTTATCAATCATTGGAAAAGCTGTACCTTTTTCCTTATCTAATCTTGTTGACTACTAAGAAATATTGTCTCGTACTAATTAATCGATAAAAGCTTTTTAGTTTGATTCTATAATATTAATTGACTTGTCATATACTTGTTTTTTTTTTCTTCTTCTTCTTCTTACCTCAGCCATTTTTTATTGTAAATAGTATATGTCAAACTATAAGACATTCTGACTAACACAGTATGAAATAGCCTATTGACGCGTGTGTCTTTCTTTCTCTTTATAACTCTATTCAAGTGGGAAGAAGTAATCGGAGATGTGTGTTTCTTCTCGATAGCTACTCGAATTGGTGGAAGTTGTTCGACGCAATTAAGCGGACAACACTAGCACACTACCGTCATAACTTTGCTAGTGCGCTCGACGTCGATTATATACTCTTTTCATTTTTTTTCCTCTCTCTCTCTCCTTTAGCATCGTTGTGGCGCATTTGCTTTTTGCTTGCTCATCACACTAACTACTACCAGTCGGTTGACGTAGCCGCCGGTGTGTATGTATGTGGCATCTCAGTTTTCACACTCAGCTTTAGTTAGAAATACATCCACATATATAAAAAAAAAAAAGAAAGAAGAACTATCTTTTTTTTTTCTCTTTTTTTTTCTTTCCTTAGAAATAACTCTCTGAACAACACAGCACATGATAGAACGATAAAAGAACTCATTCCATCCGAGAAACAGTGCCAAGAATAACAATAAAAAAAAAAACTGCAAGATTGAAAGAGAAGAAAAAAAAAGGGAAAAGCTAACATTACTCTTCTCTTGCTTATTCTCATCCGTTTCACAGCCGAGTTAATCTCTCGATAATATATATGACAACGAATTATCACATTTTTTTTAGCTCAAATTATTATTTTATATTTGGAATTGATAACCCCAATTAGTTCTCAAAATATGTCTTTCATACTGAATAATATATAAGTAATTGGACATAGATATCTAAATATATCATCTTAATCTACGCATTTTAATATATATATATACATATATGTATATATATATATAAGTTCACTACAATGTACTTCATTATAAAATCAACTTACTCGACAATCACATCGATAGTGATTTACTTCATTTTAGATTACATAGTAATCTTTAATCAAATAAACAATTTTTAATAGAAGTAATTCGATAAAAAAAAATAATAGAAAAGATAAATAGGTTATATATATCCCAATCTCAATGATATTCTTAAATAAACAGTGTTTAACGTTTCAATAAAAAAATAATCAATATGTATCCTTGAGATTATCGTTTAGACTTTGTTTCACAAGAATGTATTTTTGTTATTACACGTGTACATTGATTTCTAAAGGATATATTTGTCAGAAATATATACAGAACAATGTTTGATCGATGTTTAGGATATCAGTAAGACAGAAGGAATTGATGTGTAATAATCTACAACATCTGCTATATTGAGATGCATTTCTACAGGCAGTCAATTAGTTCTTGATAAATGATGCTCTATGTAGAAAACAGATTTTTCAATTTGTCAAAGATTTTTGATTGAATTCTTTCTGTCGTATTCAAATGAATAATGTTGATGGTTTGATGGAAAGAAAAAAGAATTAGATTTACGCATGCTCGACTAATGTTGAAATTACACTTAAGAATCGGCATTGATTCATTCATCAATAAATTTGTGTTTGTAGAAACGTATTTATGAAAATATTATAAATTCAAAAAATAAAAATACAGAAGATTAAGACAACTGTATGGAAAACTCATTGACAATTTATAACATAAAATAATATCCAAACAGCTGCTTTTTATATGTTTACTTTTATTCTATTATCATGTATATATTCACTGACTTTTAATATCTCAAAGTGAATGACATCATGTCTGTTTTACATAAGTTCAACTTTCAATTGCTTTGAAGAAAAAAAAAAAAAGATCTTTTCGATTCGACCAAATAAAATTTAGACTCTTGTCGATAATATGTAAATTTGAAGGTAAAGTCGATGAAAAAACAAAACATAACAGTACTATCATGTTAATACTATTTCATAAACATATGAAGACGTCATAGTTCCATTAAGAGACATTTCTGTGATCAGTAATATGTTGTCTCATGACAAGCAATGTTGTTTACGTCAGATATCCCTTGAAGCAAGTAAAAAAAACAACATGACAAATTCTTTAACCATTGTTAATATCGTCCTTAAAGTAGGAAAAGTTTACTCACGAAAGAATTGATTGGCATTTATCTTTGATTTAGTCTTTCCTAAAGCGTTATTCTAACTTATAAGGTTGATTCTTCACAGATGTTGATGATTATACGAAATAGTATGTAATAATAAATATTCATTAGAACTTCCAAAATTCTTTTTCTTAATTGATCGATTGAAAATAAATATTTTTTCTGTACTTCATATAAGAATGACATCTTCAGGAACAAAAAAAAAAGATAAATTATAAAATTGAAATTTTTTCAAAATCAACAATTTCTTCAAGTTCAATGAATTCTTATTATTTAATAACATATATTCAACTAGTGGCAAAACTTTGATTGGCTTTCATAATAACTACAATCATTTCAGAGTTTAGTATCAACGTGGCTATATCATCTCTTGCATCGTTATTGATTGATCTATTGCTATTTTTTGTTTTCATCATATATAACCTTGAGTTATAAATGGATACCTTAACAAGTACACCTCCACCCATATCATCAGGTACAATGAATGGTGATAAACTTTCAGGTCAATTAATTATTAAAGCTCAATTAGGCGATGATATTCGTAAAATGATGATACATAATGAAGATTTAACATTAAATGGTAAAAAAATAAAATTCTATTTTTCAAAAGAGAAAAATCAAATCACTATTCTTTTTCTTTTTTTTTGTTCGTTTAGAACTTGTGCTTATGATGGAACGTATATTTGCTGGTAAAATTTCAAATTCGGATGAAATAACTATAAAATATTTAGATGATGATGGTGATAAAATAACTTTATTAAATGATAGTGATTTAACTGTTGCATTACATTTTCATAAACTTCTTCGTTTATTTGTATGTATTAATGGTAATGAACAAACAAATACAAATTCAATAGATAAACTTACTAAAGAAGATAATTTAATTGATGCTAAAACATATCGTAATGAATTACAACAAATTCGTAATTCAGTACAAACAATTCTTGATCGACTTCAGTTATCAACAAATGAAGTTCCAGCACAAGCACCACCACCACCACCAACAACAACAACAGCTCCTACATCTACTATTGTTTCAAGTACAACACGTGAATTTGATCCATATAAAAATTTACAACAACAACAACAACAACGTTCAGCTACTCCACCAACAAATTTAAATCGTCAAGGTAATAATGAACAACAACAAATAGCACCAACAAGTAAATAAAAACTATTCTTTTGTTTTATAAAATAAATTTCATTTTGTTTTGTTTTTCAAAAATAGTTGATACACAAAATGTAGAAACAACAAATACAAATCAAATGCCACCTTCTACATTTTCACAAACACAAATGCCACCTTCTACATTTTCACAAACACAAATGCCAACATCTCATTTTATGCCAACAAATTTTCCTAATGATCAACAAACAAAACAAAATATGTTTGGTCCACCCCCAACAACATATCCTAATATGCCATCTTCTCAATATCTACCTCCTACAACTATTTCAAATAGCAATACACAACCAATAGTTAATCCTACTTCTACTTCACCACCTTCATCGATTAATCAACCATCAGGATTTATTGGTCAACAAACATCAACTCCTCCACAACAAGGTGGTTTTTATGGTCAACAACAAGCTTTATTTCAACAAAGACCTCCACTTGGAAATTTTAATGCTAATAATGCATTTGTTCCACCACAAACAGCACCATCACCATCAAATTCGTCACCAGCACCAATGAATTCATCATTTATACAACAACCATCACCATCAAATTCATCACCAGCAACAATAAATCCATCATTTATGCAACAACCACCACCAATGGCTGCTCAACAACCTTATGGAACTTATCCTCCACAAAATTCATATTATAATCCAGTTCAACAATATCCAAATACATCATAATATGCCGATAGGTCGTGTTTTTTTCTTTTCTTTATTGTTATTATCAATATATTATCTTTTTTTTTTTGTTCTTTGTCTTATTATTTACTTTTATTCTGCATGCAATCATTGGTTTGTTGTGAAGTGTTACGTTACGTTTTAATTTAACTCTGATATACTTTTAAAATAAATATAGAACAAATGAAAGGTCCATATCTAACCTTTATATAATGACGTCAAATTCTTTGATTACAGAAAGTTTGTATGATGAATGACATCGTACATGAGAAAAAAAAGAACGTTTTGACTTTCTTCAAAAACACAGAACTTTTTAACTTTCTTCAAGGAAAAATAAAGAATAGCGTGTTTTTTTTTTATCGGATTGACTACCCAAGAAAACTATATTCTGTTATAAAGTCTTACGCTAGTCGTACAATGCAGCGTAACATATCTATATTTTCTCTCATTCTCCTTTTTTTTTCCTCTTTTCTTCCTTCTTTCCTTTTTTCTTTCCTTGCATGCTGGCTGCATCGAACGTCTCGATGACGCATATTCACATTTACATACCCCTTCTATTGAAAGCGAACACAACAGATCAAAGTACAACAATTTGAATATAAATTCTATCTTTAGATCGTTTTAGTTCAATATTAGAATTCTTAAATTATTTATTAAAAATAAGAAGAAATTATGGCTGAGGCTCATGAAGCCGTTGCATTTTCATTTTCAGTCGGTCATGAAGGTATTATGAAAATAATTCATTGTTTTTTTTTTTTATAAAATTTAATTAATTTTGTATAATATTAGGATTTAATGTTGATGTAAGTTATGATGTATTTAAAGCTCTTTTCTATGCTGGTTATCGTTCATGGAAACTTCGTTGTCGTCGTACATTAAATTCATTATATAATTCATTATATCCTGGTCACCCATCACGTGGTATTGCATGTTGTGGTGTTGTAGCTGGTCTTTATTTTAAAGGTTATGATCCATCATTTCATATAATTGATTGGCTTGAATCAAATATATTTCGACGTTATTTACAACCACGTAATGGCAAAATATTAGCATGTATTGTTTTTGGTGGTGGTGGATATATTTTATTTATACAATTAAGACAATATACATTAAAAAAATTATTTTCATATCATGGTTGGATGTATCAAGAACATGGAAAAAATATTGGATTAGTACCAAAAATTTGGAGTGTTCTAGTTAAATTATGTGTTGGTCGTAATCCATCATTATTTTCATGTCAAAATTTTTTACCATCATTACCATTACCAAGTTTAGATGAAACATTACGACGATATTTAAGATCTGTTCGACCATTATATGATGATAATGAATATCAACGTATGGAAAAATTAGCTGAAGAATTTAAACAAACAATAGGAAGAAAATTACAAAGATATTTATGGCTTAAATGGATTATTTCAACAAATTATGTAAATCACAAAGAAAAAAAGAAATAGATATAATAAAATTTTCTATATATATAATTATAATTTTAGGTATCTGATTGGTGGGAAAAATTTATTTATTTACGTGGTCGTTCACCAATTATGGTTAATAGTAATTTTTATGGTCTTGTATGTATTTTATTAATAATTTATTCAAAAAAAAAAAAAGGATTATTATTTTTTTTAAGGATGCTATTTATATTCGTCCAACAACAATTCAAACAGCACGTGCAGCTAATTTAACTTGTGCTGCTTTTCGATATCGTACAGAACTTGATCATGAAAATATTAAACCTGTATGTGAAAAAAAAAAACAAAAATAATTCTATATATAATTTATTTTAGTTAATGATACAAAAATTTGTACCATTATGTTCAAGTCAATATGAACGACAATTTAATACAGTACGCATACCTGGCAAAGAAACAGGTATGATTTTAGGGGGAAAAAAAAAGTGATTTGACTGTAATATCATGAAAAAGAGTTATTATGTGCTATTACATTGAAATCAGAGACCGAAACGAGTGAGAAAATCTCGATTCAGTTTAGCCGAACCGAATCAAATCAAATTAAATTAGTCGGCAGTTTGATTCGGCTACGTTCTCTTATAAGAACACATAACATGATTTAGAATACCTAATAACATTGAATAGATGTATTTAATGAACGAAGTAAAAAGAAAATAGAGGTAGTATATGCACGACTAGAGTGTAAATAATGCTATCTAAAATAAATAATACTATATAGATAAAATTGATTATGTCTTACAATCTACGTTTCTCTTCCATTTCCTCATGTTCTTCTATTTCGCTAATAAAAACATTAAGTTCATTTATTTGATTATTAATTCATCTATTTTACCTTCAAGCTGATGTTCAATCATATTTCAATATGTTTATCCCTGTCACTATCAATAGGCGAATTCTTTATGTCATATTCCAAAAAAAAAAGCTATCCTAGAATATGTTAGTATATAACCTCGTATGTACAGATTATACAAGAAATAGGTTAAACAAATTTTGGTATACAAATGAAGATGTCTATACTTAAAATTATACAGCGATTATGCACACATACAAAGAAATAACAGTCTAATATAGACAGAGGACAAATAGGAGTCTTTGGTAAGCAAATATTTGTGTAGTAGAGTGTTTGAAATACTTGATGAGGAGACGTCCCCAAGTGTCTAATCGCTTTTTTGTTCTAGGCTATAATGAACAGCATTGAATCCTAAGATTGTTCTTGATATAGCAAATTTTAAATAAAAGCTCTCAATGATATTAGTTCATTGCAAAAGTTTTACTAGTTTCGATATGTCATAGTTTAAAATATGAATCGTAATTAAAAAAAAAGGCAATAATTCTTTGGATTCGAAGTACTAAAATCAGTAAAACTTTCACGATGAACCATCTTAGGCTTTGACACTGTTCATCATAGCCTAGCACAAAAAGGAATTGAACACTTGAAGACATTCCTTCGTGGATGGAATTCATTTAGTTTGCATTATCTTCTTTTTTCGAGATTCACTCACTCATAAGCAGAATTCTAATTTTGATTTCCTAAATTCTATTGTTTTTCATTAAACCTCTGAATAATTAAACTTTTTTTTTTTTTAGACAAAATTATTCATTATGCCGATAGTCATCATGTTGCTGTTTATCATAAAGGTCGTTGGTATAAAGTATTCATGTTTTATAAAGATAATTTACTTCAACCATGTGAACTTCAACTGTATGTTTGATGTTTGTATTTTAATATTATTATTTTTCTATTCTTTTTTTGTTTTGTTCTAGTCAATTAGATGAAATAATTCGCGATACAACTCCACCAAATTATGGTGAAGAACATTTAGCTGCATTAACAGCTGGTGAACGACCATTATGGGCTGAAGCTCGTGAAACATATTTTAGTTCGGGTGTCAATCGTTATTCATTAGAAGCAATTGAAAAAGCTGCATTTGTTCTTATTTTGGATGATGAAGATTTTGAAATAGGAACGGTAAGTTTTATTTAATTGAAATGGCCTTTTTTTTTCGTCTTTCTGATTGTGATTTAAAAAAAAAAAGAACTTTGAATTAATTCAGCAAGATGTTAAATCAGATTGGCCAACTTCTGACAAGGGGGTAATTTATTTTCTGTACTACATATATGTTGTCTTATAACCAAGTATTAAGTTTGCTTTTATGCTTTATCTTTATTCGTGGTTTTAGTATTTAACACATACTAATATTTTTTACACTAGAAAACTTTTTTTTTTTGTTAAATATTATTAATATACTTTTCTATTTTATATTTTAGAGTATGACTGGAAAATTGGATGATTATGCATGTGCTATTCTTCATGGTAAAGCATATAATCGTTGGTTTGATAAATCATTTAATTTTATTGTTAGCAGAAATGCTGTGGTATGTTATTTAAGAATAAACGAATGTTTAATTCATATTTTTTGTTTTCTTTTAAAGTTTGGCTTTAATGTTGAACATAGTTGGGTAAAATCAGTCAACAAAAAAAAAACAATATGTTTAATAATAATAATAATGAATTTGATTTATTTTATTTAGGCTGATGCTCCAATAACTGGTCATTTGGCAGAATATGTACTCTCTGAAGATATTATGAATTATGGGTAAGTACAAATCCTTAATGAATATTTAATATCGATCAATATATACTTTATTAATTTGATAATCGTATATGTCGAACATTCAAAAAGCTGATGGATTTATTTTCTACAAATATAAAAGAAAGCGTCAGTTTTATTATTTAATTATAATTCATGCTATTTTTTCATCATTTTCAATTAATTGACGAAAAATACATTTAGTGTACAGATTTGTTAAAATATTCATCGGAAAAGTATTTCTTCGAAAGATATAATGTTTTATATGACTCAGCATAATAATCACATATCTTAGTATTGTAAATGACAAACAACGCTCGCTTACTGTTTTCATATATCGATGTACCATTCGAAAACGGTCCGAAGTGTTCCAGAACTTTCGAGGTGATATTTTGTTCATAAGTAGGACCTGATGAGACTAGAAAAAGGATAAAGAGAGATTGGTCTTTCTTCTTGAATCGCGACTGTTTCACTAGGTTCACCGAAAAAAAAATCAAGTTACAGAATTTCGATCTGAAATTTTGCTCACATATAGGTCTTATGACCCTTATAGTAGCCTAAACGAAGTGCCTCTTTCGTGAAATATTAAGTTTTCAAGTAAATCCTTCCATGCTGCAGACACCGTCAAAAAAATTGACGTTTTGTGGAAGCTTAATATTTTGCAAAACCTTTAGCTTTTTCTAGTTTTTGTCGGGTCCTACTTATGAGTAAAATATCAGCTCAAAAGTTCTGAATAACTTCGAGCGGTTTTCTCGTGAGCTAAATGAATCGTTTTCTATCTGCTCGATTTGTCCAAGATGAATATGTGATAAGTTATAGTACTCATCAACTGATTGCTAAACTTCAAATCTTGAATTTTCTCATTTAACCTTTTCAGAAAAACGTTAACATAAATTTGATCTTTACCAAAAAAAATTACCGATGACAGCTGTGTTACTAGCGTATACAGACTCAATATTTTTCGTTTGGATATGTGTCATAGTTACTTCATGATATCAAATAAATGAATTAAAATTTGTATAGATTAGTTCAAAAGACGAAAAATTAATTCATAAAGAACAAGAACAATATCTTCATATTGGATATTTCGATTTAGAAAGAAGACTTTGAAATATAACGGATAGATTGAAAAAGAAATTTTCTTTCAAATTTAAATCAATAAGATGATCTTTTGAAAGTTAATCATTTCTTTTTTCTTGCAAACAAAATAAATCATAAATATGATTATTTATTTTCTAGTTATGATGCACTTGGTAATACATGTGGTACACCACGTTTTACTGCACTTAAGCCAATTAAACTTAAATGGAATATTCCTGAAAGTGTAAATATCTTTTCATTTTTTATATTTCTATATATTGATTTCTTATATATTAGTGTAATCTTATGATTGAAAAAAGTCTTGTTCAAGCAACAAAAGTATATAATGATGTTGATCTTCATATTTATGTTCAAGATTCATATGGTAAAGGTTTTATGAAAAAACATCGATTATCACCAGATGCTTATATACAAATGTCACTTCAATTAGCTCATTATCGAGTATATTAATAAAATATTGAAAAAACAAAAAAAGAAAAATTTTTTTTCTATTATCTCTGTTTTGAATATATACATAGGATTCAGGTCATTTTAATTTAACATATGAAGCATCAATGACACGTCTATTTCGTGATGGTCGTACAGAAACTGTTCGTTCATGTTCAATTGAATCAAGTCATTGGGTTAAAGCTATGGAAGATCCAACAGTTTCAGTAAGAATAATATAAAAGATTCTGATGAAAAATAATCGATATCAATAAAGAGATATAATATCTATTGTAGATTGATAATTATCTATAATATCTCTTTTTGAAATGAGGAATAATTATTTTATTCAATAGAATTTCTTGATTTATTTATATTTGAATTTTTAGAAAGTTGAACGAATAAAATTACTTCGTGCAGCTTGTGATCATCATCAATTACAATATCGAGATGCTATGAGTGGTAAAGGCATTGATCGACATCTATTTTGTTTATATGTTGTATCAAAATATCTTAATCTTGATTCACCATTTCTTCATCAAGTTCTTCAAGAACCTTGGAAATTATCTACTAGTCAAGTAAGTTCCAAAAAAATTGATTTTTGTTTTATATATAAAAAAAAAAAAAAACGAAAAAAAAAAAACGAAAAAAAAAAAATTTTTTTTAATCAAATAAATAAATCTATATAAGACGGCGACTACTTATGATGATAAACGTTTAACAAAACTCATGAGTCAAAAGCCAGATTTGGCAGAAAAAATGGCATTGGATCGATTGAAAAATATTGCAGCAGCTGGTGGCGGTTTTGGACCAGTGAGAAAAAATGAATATTTTCGAATTAACATTTGTATTGTTTTTCTAATTTTTGCATGTCCCTATGATTTACTTTTTTTTTTTGCTTATTTTACATCTTTTGTTTTCTTTCAAATATCCAACAGACGCCTGCTTCCTATGAAGATCGATATCCCCAATTTAATCGGAAAAAGAAAGGAATCAAGGCTGGTGGTGGGTTTGGGCCTGTGAGTTATTTTGTTTTAGTTTGAATGTTTTAAAAAAAAGCTATAGAGTGTTTTCAATTAGATATAAACATATAATTTGAAAGTATAATAATTTTTTTTAATATTCTTTTTAAAATTACTTTCTATTGTATGCTTATATATATTTGATTTTGTTTTAATAATACTTTCTTATTTCGATTATGCAAAAGAATATTTTATAGAGAAATAATAGATTATAGTTGTTAGCGTTTATCAAAAAAAACAAAAAAAACATAAATTTTAAAACATTTAATATTATCATAAATATTTTCGTATGAATATTTTAATTACTATCCAATTTCTTTTATCTATATCTGTTCGTAAGTCTCGATAATATGAATTCATACCGGACAAAAACTATCGGTAGACTATTCGGAAATAGTTATTCTCCAACCGGCAATCTACTGCAAGTATACAGTCAGTACTTATAGGTACCACGATATAGGGATGTTGATGTGGGTTGACGGATTTAGGTGATTTCAGAATCTTTAATGTTTGGATTTACGGGAACGGAACTTACATGAGGGTGCTCAACAACACGCTTTGACACTTCGCTATTCTTATCTGATCTCTTAAATTCAAATGCAAAAGGTTTTGAATCGACTTAAATCCGTCGTACTAACCTCAGATCGATAGTGGTAATGCGAACACAGGTCTAGCATGCGTAGTATGCTTTATTGCTTGCAACTAACGAGAGAACTTCTTCAGCTACTTCATTTTGACTTCAATGATTTTTTTACCTATGTTTCAATAAAAACCCTAAAAGGATTTGGATTCCGACTAAACTATCGAATTTTTAATATGTCTATTTTCCACAGATTCTTGATTTTCAAGAAACTCGTATTTTCGAATATTGATCTTAAACGAAAAAAAAAGTCTATATATCAAAGAGTCTTTGTTCAAAACTTGTGATTTTTTCTTTAATGAAGTTTTCCGAAAATCTGAAGCCTCTAGAAAAATAGACATATTAAAAAATTCGATAGTTCAATCGGAATTCAAATCCTTTTCGGGGTTTTTATTAAAACATAGGTAAAAGAAATTATTGAAATCAGAATGGAGGCGACTGAAAAGATGGTACTCTCGTAAGTATCAGGGGTTACCTTTCAATCTTTGAAAATTTTCGTGAAACTGAATGATTTTCTTCGCTTTGTTTTGGATCCCTGAATGTAATATATACTAACATTACATACTTATACTGAATGTTGCATGCTAATATTTTAAATGAAACTATCTTTCTTTAATGCTTTAGTTGATTGTTAACATAAACTTTTGCATGCTTTTGCTTATGACTGCCTGTTGCACTTCATTAACTGAAACGAAATTTTATTGTTTCAATTCTAAATTTTTTATATTTATAGGTAGCTGCAGATGGCTACGGTGTGAGTTATATAATTACATCGGAAGATCTTATATTCTTTCATATTTCATCGAATAAATCATCAGCTGAAACGGTAAGAGCAACTAGCACCTTGTTTTTTTTTCTTTTATCTTATTATAGATTTTCTATTTAAGGATTCAAAACGATTTGGTCAACGTATTCAACAAGCCATGCAAGATATGCGTGAATTATTAGAAAGTGAATCTAAAAGTGCTAGTTCAAGCAAAAATGAAAAGAAAATATCAACTGTTGTACCATCAACTGACCAACCAGCATAAATTATTTACATTTATCTTATTATTTACAATATTATGGTTATATAATATATCATCTCTTTGTGACTATATAAAAGAATCTTTAATATTTGTATAAACTTGCTCATATTTGAATGTCTTGGTCTTTTTTTTTTCTTTCTTTCGAACTATTGACATTCAACAGTTTTTTTTTCACATTATATTGTGTACGACATCAGAAGAAGAAATAAAAATTGAATAACGCATATGTATTATTGGAAATATTCTTTTAAATTTCTTTAGTTTTTTGAGCAAAATTTATAGAAAAGTAATTTGACATTAAAATTGAAATATGAATCTTTTGACTATTGCAAGAATATTTATTTAAAATTTTTACAAAAAATTGAAATTCTTTAAATTATATTTGTTTTTTATAATTTGGACGTTACTTGTTTATCTTGAATATTAATTGCATTAAGTAATGAAGAAAAATGACGAGTAGCATCAACAGCAGTACCCCATGAAAGTGCAATACCATTACCACCATGACCATAATTATGAACAACCTAAAAAATTATCACACACACACAAAAAAAAAAAGAAAATATTATTATTTATTTATTTTGTTTTTTTTTTGTACCAAAAGTTTTTTATTTCCATATTTAATAATTTCAGTTTCAACTCGAATTGGTTTACGATCAGGTCTTAATCCAGCCTAAAAATAATAATTAATTTATCGAAGAAAAAAAAAACACAACAAAAATGAAAATATTTGTCTTACCCAATGCCAAAGAATTTCAGCTTGCTAAAAAAAAAAAAGAAGAAAATATCTAGTTTTTATTTCAATATTGAAAATTACCGCTAAACTTGGACATAATCGAAGACATCGTTGCCAAATATCATCTTTATCATTCAAATCAACTTGTGTATTATCATTATCTAATTGTCGAGTACCACCAAGTACAATTATTTCATTACTAAAACAAATAAATAAATGAAATAAAAAAAAAATATATATATTAATTTTCATTACTTCGGTATCAAATAACAATTATCATCTGTATAATAAAAATGTTTAATCCATGGTGCTCGAACACGAATCACCTGACCACGTATTGGTCGTATTAAATTATCGTTACATAATTCTTTAGCTCCAAAACCAGTACAATTCACTACAATATCATAACTTTCAGCTAACTATATAAATCATATTTATTAAAAAAAAAAAAGAGAAAGGTCAGAAATAAATAAATAACAAACTTCTTCTAATGTATTGATTTTCTTTTTTGTAAATGTTACTTGTTTTTCAGTTAATCTAAAATTTTATTTTAATTTCTAATATATATATATATGTAAATTCTTTTTGTTGTTATAATCTTACAGTTTAGTTAAATATTTCATATATTTACGTGTATCAACATACAATGTTGTACAAAAATAACCATATCTTTAAAAATGAAAAAATAGATTATAATTTTATTTTTGTAAAAATATTTTTTAAATTTAAATTCTTACTTATAATGATCAGGAAATATTTCTAATTCATGTTTTGTTAAATAACGAAAATTATAAATAATATTTTTATATGATGGATCAGGTCGTGGATCATTAAATAATTGATAACCTGATACTTGTGAAATACCAGCTTCAGCACTAATATTTGAAAAAATCAAATTATTGAAATGATCGAATGATGTTTGACACCAATTTCTTTTATTTTTTTGAAACAAAAAAAAAACAAAATCAAAGAATTTAAATAAGATACATATGTATGATCAATAATACCTAAGAATAGATTTATCAACACCATGAATAAATCGTTCATCAGGTCGAAAAAGACCACCGGCACCATCACTAGTTGTTGACTCAAAAAATCGATCAGCAATAATTGTTAAAGACACTGAAGGATGTTGTAATTTTATACATAAAGCAGTCGATAAACCGACGACTCCAGCTCCTACTACACATACACGTGACATGTTGATGAAGGTTCTTATGAAAATTTTTATCAAGAACACTAAGAATATATGATTGTTCGACTACTATTTTTTTTTGCGTAGAAGAAAAGGAATAAAGCAATTGGACCATTAAGGTCTCGAAGAAAGAAGAAAAAAGATAAAAAATGGCGACGTGCGTTTGCTGCGTTATTTTTCTTTTCTTAGCTCGAAAAGTTTCTATGCGTCACCATTGCTCTATGTTACAAACAGACATATTATTTATATTTTGCGCTTATATGAAAAAAATATCTAAGTCGTTTTACTTGTTATTCATCTTTAGAGATAATCAATATAATCTTTTTTCCCCAAGCTTTTCAAATAGATCATTTTTTTGGTTCCACTAATAACATGTTTTAGAAAGAATTCAGCAGAAAGTGCAATATTGTTTAAGACTATAGACAATTTATGATATATATTGCTAGTTAACTTGAATGTGATTGTGAAACAAATGCAATAGAATTCTATCTGAAATAAACTATTTATCTCTGTTCAATAGAGTTATAAAATAATAACAATTATTAAAAATCGCTACGCCTGACTTTTATCGTTTGGTGACAAAAAAAAACTATTCATGTGCAAGGAAATTTGTTTTTGTATGCATATCATAAAACGAAAACGATAGTTTGATAATATCATACTCGAATTACGGAAATATAGGATTGCAGTAACTCACAGTGATGGTGAGTAACTTGGAATTTAAAAGTATATAGATATGTTCACTATAAAATTTCAAATTGACTTTGTTTGCGCAATAATCGATTCATTAACGGAAGAAGAATCCACCCTCAATATGATTCAACACTTTTGAGTTTTCTATATTTTGAGAATAAAGAGAGGATCAGAAGGCTAGAATAATTTGAAAAGGATTCGAACCTAAAGATCTTCTATACAAAGATATAGCCATTTCGCAGGATTTTAACCATCTTGTACAAAAATCTGAACAAAGAATCATTCTTTTTAGGTTATTTTAGCCTTGCTATAGTCGTTTAAATAACGTATGATGCAAAAGTAATGGCACAAAATGTTAACCCCTATGTGTGTTCGATAAAAGGGTGCTGAAAGAAAACCTTTTCTGCTAAAAGATAGAATTTTTTCTCCTCTTTCGAATTGCATATAACTTATTTTCATAACGCGTTTACAGACAAAACAACTCAACAGAAAAGAGAAGCATCCTTAAAAGAAATTCACATTTTTCTATAAAAAATAAATTTATAACTTTTATATGAATTTGTCAGAAACATCTTGCAGACAGTGGCGGCGCAACCGGGGGGGGGGGGGGGGGGAGGGTACCCCCTCCTGCTTTGGGAAAATTTCCCTGAGATTTTCTCTCATTTTGCAAGAAAATGACTCTAGGATTTCTTCAGTTTGGTGAGAAAGATACCTCAGATTTCTTCAAATTTTTAGAGAAATGATCTGAAATCCTCTCTAATTTGAGAGAAAACGACTTCAGGGTTTCTTTAATTTTATGAGAAAGCGAACTCAGATTTCCTCCATCTTTGGAAGAGCATAATCTCAAATTTTCTTCCATTTTGGGAGAAGATGACCACAGATTTCCTTCAATTTTAAAAAGTGACCTTATATATCCTCTAATTTTAGAAGAAAGTAATCTCAAATTTTCGAGAGTTTTAGAAGAAAGTGGTCTCAGATTTTCTCCGATTTTGTGAGAAAATGAGCCTGACTTGAGAGTTCTGAGGCTGTGCGACCGAGTAGGGTGAAGAGAACACCCTTCTTTTGCTGTTGGAAATTTGGGCTACAACTTTGTCTGATTTCTCAGAAATTTAGGCTGTAAGCTTCCTTGAATTGGGATACTTTGATCCTCACTTTCTCAGTTCGTTGAAAAAAAATGACTTGAATTCTTTTCCTTTTGCAACGAAAAGGAATATTTTCTTCCACCGCTCTACCAAAATTTCGACAATAAATCAGTAAATATGAAAAATTAGAATATTAATCTTACTGTTAGAAAGCTTTAAAAAGACATTTTATTGAATCAAAATACGCAATCAATGTTTAGTTGAGAAATTTATTGATAGAGAACGTAGAAAATATAATTAGTGTACATTGACACATATAGACTGATCTATTCTTGATAAGATATGCATCTGTGTGGTACAGTTTGAATTTTATTTGTCTTTTTAATTGATTGCTTCGGAGAAAGTCAATTACGTTTTGAGAAAGAACTTTTTCCCAATTCTAAAGAAGCTCTGCTCTATTTTAATCTCTCCCGCATTCGCTAAAAAAATAAAAGTTAGCTTTGTCTCTACTGAAAAGCCTTCTTAGAGAGTAGTGATGTATCGTGCCCAATAAACGACTCTTTAAATTAATAAATCGACCGAAATTTTGAGCTTGTCGCATATTTTAGTGTAAATATACCTTCTTTTAGGGTTTCTTTTACGGAAAATGTTCAAAAGCTGAGCTCAAGATCATTTCTATTCTTCTTAAGCTCCGAGAATTCGTCAAATAACGCACGAGATCTCTATGATTACCTAAAAGCTCTATTAATGACAATCGAAGAAGATAAGAAATAATAGAAGATTCTATTCAAAAATTTTTGGTGAGGCATAAGTGAAAATCTTGGCATCTTTTATGTAAAAGAATCTTCAATTTTTGAGAACTTAGCGTAGAGTTCAGTCATATTATCAGGGCTGTCGCGACCGGGGGGGGGGGACGGGAGATCACTCCCCCCAATCTTTAGAAAATTTGGTTATTTACTAGATATTTTTAAAAATTTTCAAGAAATTTTCAAAAATCTTCAACATTTTTTCAAAAATTTTCAAAAATCTCTAAAAATTTTCAACAAATCTCCAATTTTTTTTCAAAATTTCGATAATTTATAGAAGTTTTTGAAAAATTTTCGACCCCCCCAATCTTTAACACCTCGCGACAGCCCTGCATATTATCTTCTAGAGCACAAAATTTCTAGCAATGATTCACATTATTTTTACTTTGTCAAAAAAAAACTCCAAACATCACTAATAGTGTTGCCAATAGCGTGATCACTAAAAAAAAATATGAAGTGATGGGTAAAATTTGAGAGAAACATAAATAATCAACGTGTTAGAAGAATATATTTTCTTGTCACCGAAGGCGGCAAAAAATTTTTGAGCTTTCTCCCATTTTGCACAATACCCCCCCCCCCCTCCTGCTTTGACCTCTTCGCGCCGCCACTGTCTTTATGTCAACATCGATATAAAAATTTTCGATAAGAAACCGAACATTCAATTTTGATCAAGTTCTCGATTCTGACACTAATCTATCCGTTTAGATTTCGTTATGATGATCATTGTATACCTAATCTCTTTGAGAATCGGTGGAAGATCTTAATACTTCTGCTAAGAAAAGACAAGTCCATTCGAGATGAGCAGTGTTCTGATCGTGTTCTGGCTTACGTTAGGTTGAACTTGGGAAGTTATAAGTCTCCAATGTCATCTATTTTTTTCTCAAAACTATCGATTTTCGCAACATGAGTTGATAAGAGAAAAACTTTCGAAATTTCTTTTTACCTCATTTAAATTTTTCAAGAATATTTTGTAAATTTTGTGAACATTTCATTTGATATTATAATTGATTATTTAAATTAGTATTAAGTGTTTCAAATTTGGCATATTCATATTTTAATGTTCCTAATTCCTGTGCTAATGCGTGTTTTGATTGTTCACCATTTGTATTAAGCTGTTGAATAAGTTAATTTTGTGCACAATTTGAATTATCTAATTGTGCTATTTGATTTCTTAAAGATTTTTCTCGATTTTCAGCAGCAATTAAATCTGTTGTATGAAATTCTTCCATTGTTAATAAATATGTACGTAATCGTTGAATTTCATTTGTTAATTTTCGTTCACGTTCTTCAAATTGTAAAAGCTAAAAAATTCAAATAAAACAAATATTTAATAATGAAAACACAAAACAAGGAGGGTTGGGTGTGGATAAAGAGAAGTGAATACCACACCCCCCCCCCCCCACCCTCTGTGGAGTTTAATTATAGACAATGACCCATAATTTCAGATTCAGTAGATAGAGAAATATTTTCTCTGTTGAATTTGTTTTAGATAAGGATATGCTTCTTAGATAAGGTATATGAATTTTATTGGTAGAATGAGCAGCGTCCCGGCTTATCTTTGTTAAGGGTTTCTGTATGGGTATAGAAATCTAATAAATCCCTTCTCACATTCTTTTGTTGAAAAATGCAACCTAGATCCGCTTTTCCTATAAGAATCCCCGAGGAGTTCCAAACGATTGATAAAACCTCCAAGGAACACTTGAAAAGCTAGGCAAAAAACGAAAAATCCTTGTAGATTGCCTAGTAATTGAAGCTTCGTAGCTTCTAGGCAATCTACAAGTATTTCTCGGTTTTTTTGTCTAGCTTTTCAAGTGTTCCTTGGAGGTTTTGTCAATCATTTGAAACTCCTCAGGGAATCTCATAGGAAAAGCTGATCTTGGAGCGCGTTTTTTCATCATTTTAAACTGTAATGGTCAAAAACGCGTTCCGCGAACGTGAAAGCCCTTTTTTAAGAAAAGAAAACGTTTCTTAAGGGTGAGAACGCACTCTTGATCGTTTCATTTTGAAACGCATTCCACTTTTTATGGAGAGCGTTTTTTTCTTAAAAAAAGTTTTCTATGAAAGTGGAACGCGTTCTTTGCCGTTTTTTTCGATAAATATTTTTCACTGGATAGGATGTATTAAATATTATATTTACTAAATCTTCCAATACAAATATAAGAAAAAATAAATCAATTTGACTAATGTATGGATAATTCTATGAGGTTTATACCATCAAAATCGAAGCCATTTTCGATTTTGATTTTGACCTACCAGTTTATGGAAAAATAATGTAAAACGCACATAACAAAAAAGTTCTGAACTTGTCTGATCACTTTCAAACGGACTACTTTTGCAAAATAGAAGGACTTGAGTAAAAGTATTGTTTTTGGCTGTGTTTTACTAGTTTCTATGTGAAAACGTTTCTTTGATCCATACCGCTCTACTTTCCCAAAGTAGTCGCTTTGAAACTCGTACTATTCGATACAGAATTTAATTCTGCATCTGATAAAACCAACTAGATGAGAAACATAGGTCGAGGAGCAAATCTTTTCAGAGACACACTAGGAGAACAGGCAGAAAAACACAGTATTTTGACTTGAGCCTTCCTTTTTTTCGAAGTAGTCCCTTTGAAAGTGGTCGGACAAGTTCGGAACTTTTTTTGTTGTGTTGCGAAATTTTGTGAAAAAAAGTTATTAATTTATTTATTCTCATATTTTCAAGAAGAACCTCTCACTTCTCTTTATTCTCTGAAGATAATCATTCTATTTAAGTCTTTATATTGTAGACAAAAAGTCATATTCTTAATCGTCCGAAATCCATCATTTATTTGTCTTGTATTCTTTATTTTACGAAAACCATAATCCAAAAATCATCCAGATATATGCTGAAACGAAAATGATGAAATCAACAATACCGTACCATGACTTTCAGTCTTTCTTGCTTCAAAAAATTCTGATTCCATTTAGGTTTTTGTACATGCAATCTCATTAATACATGGGTAATATA